GTCCTATTATTGGTCTATACTTATTTTCTTTTTCAACTTTTGCATTTAAATTCCCTACTACTATCTTTACACAATGTAACGGTAAATTATTATATACTGTTTCTAGATCTTCATAAAAATTGTCTTTGATGTTTTCATTTTTGTCTTCCATTGGTGCGTAGCAGTTTTTAATGACTAAGTCAAATATCTCGCCTGCAATTCGGATATAGCAAATCCGATCTGAGACTGCAGAAAAATTATGCATGGTAGCACTATGTCCTGTACCATGAAACACACTCCATTTTCATATACGTTATAGAAGAGAGTTATATTTTTTTTTTATTTTTCCGTTATCTTTCTACCCTAACTCTTGTTGAGCTAATACATTTTGTTTATACTTGTTTTGACCTTCGAATACATATTTTAAAGGTTCCCAAGTGTAATCCGTTTTCCGATTTCGATCCTGGCGTTGGAAAAATGGCGCTCCCATCGCACAATGCACGTTACTCAGTGCACTGCAGTACCTCAACCCTCACCTTAATTGGTTGAAACATTCTGGTATTCTAGGTTGGGGGTTGAGCATCGAGCTAACAACTTGACCTCATAAAAAAACTAACCGTTAAGAAACCATTAAAATAACCTTGAAATTGGATTTGAGCATTTACTCATTTAAATAAAAAAATAAAAATGTCCTACAATAGTAGTAACTCCTAAAGTTGTTATCAATCCATCAAAGTTTTTTGTAAGAAAATACTATTTTTAAATTTTGAAAAAAATTATATATTTTTTTTTTTACAAACAGTTATAAATATTTTTTTAATATAGCTAAAACTGTACGAATTATTAAAAAAAAACCAGCACAGTGGGAACGTGGCATAGTTGGGTCCAGTCTAGATTTAATCTGACAATGATTAAAATTACTATCATAAGAAACGCTTCGATGCAAATCTGTAGATAGTGTTTAATTCTAAGAAATTGGTGGATAATTACAAAATCAACATCAACTTCTATTTCCTTAATTATATCCAGATTAGTAATCTTTTAATTATATATTATATAATTTTTAAAATTAATTGTTTTCAAATATGTTAAAAGTAATAATGTTGAACCTACTTTTTATTGTCCTTTAAAGTGAAAGTTTTAATTAAAAAAAAAATGAATTTATTACCATAACATGTAGCTCAACTTGCAAGTTTGAAATTGACATTATTAAATAGAAAAAAATGAAATTGTTAAGATTAATATGCAATCAGGAAATTTTATAATTTCTATTTACAGTACATTTATCAGAAAAGTTAGATTTTTTTACATTTTTATCGTAATAGATCACTTAAATGAAAATCATAGTAATCATTTCTAATTAACTTTTGGCTTTTAAAAAAATTCTACAATGGGAATATTCAGAATTTAATTAATTTTAATGATTATATATCTAAAAAAACTAATAAAAAAAAAGTTATTCAATTTAGCGTATTATAAAAATTGATTATAATTGTAAAAATCCATTGTTAATCAGGAGAAACTAACAATCATTTTTTTTAGAAATTATTTGTATAGTAACATGTTACCAATAAATTTGGAATATTAAAGTCTAGTAGTAGCACACACAAATAGAGTAAAAAATAAATAAATTACGAAGTAAAATTATTTACTTGTGTAGTTGAATACTTTTATCATATCAAATCTAATTCGATAATGAATACTTTAAGAATAATAGAATTTAATGTTTTTAATTTTAATATTTTTAAGAATAATAACTTAAACTAAATACGAATTGTAATCATTTGACGTATCTTTGAAAAAAGTAGGTCTAGTGAGGGTTGGCAAAAAAAATCATAGGCACAAAAAGAACCACATAGTAAAATAATATTAACATGAATATAAATTTCTTCTTACGAGGGGAGACTATAGTGATAGGATCCTTTATATTTATTGAAGTTATTAAATCTAAATGAGATAAATATCAAATGATTTGAAAATTTTATTCTAACTCAAAAAAAAAAAATGCAAAATATTAATTGCCACAGACGGATTTGAACTGTACCGTCAGCATGAAAGACACTAGTGTTACCGATTTGGCAACTGTTCGTTGTTTTCGCCGCTTAAAAAAATTGGCAATTTAAGTTAACTCAAATTTAAAAATTACTTTTTCGACTTTTAAAAAGCAAAAAAAATTAATAAGTTTAATTTCTTATGTCTTATGAACTTTATTCAATGTCAATTAAATAATAAAATATTCATGAAAGTCAGTGTATTGCCCTTATAAGATATTTGAAAATAAAATAAAATACAAAACCCATGATTTTAACACAAAAATAGCATATTTTTGAATACGGTAGCCATTTGCGCATAGAAAATAGGTCGTCGGAACAAATTTTTTTTTTTTTAATTTTATAGTACATGATATAAGCTTTAATTTGACATATATTTAAAGGACGCAGTATTTCCGGAAAATTTTCAAAAATTAAGTTGAAAAAGTCATTTTTTGTAAAAAAAGCTGCTCCCTCCTGTGAGCATAATAAGTGTTAGATTTTCAAAAAAATGATATCAAATTAAAGGAAAAATTTAAGGTTTTAGTATAAAAAAAATTTTGTTGATTTGTTGATTTTTAAAAAAGTTATGGAAGTTTTAAGAAAATAGAGTGAAAAAAATTACAAAATTTATAATTTTTTTGGGGATTTCCCCTATTTGCGAGGAACGAGGGAAATTTTTTCAATTTTTGAGGGTATGTCTTCAACTAGATACAATTTGTGATCTTTTGACGTATTGTTAAAATAAATCAATCCAGTGAGAGATGAAAAAAAGTGGGAACAGATATAAAAAAAAAAAAAAAGACCATGGTAAAATTAATACTTTCTCAGCTTCACATCGAAGCTAAAATATTTGCTTATATGAAGCTAAAAATTTTTTAATTATGATGGGACACTCTCTATAGTTGATTACCTCTTAACTATAGAGTATAACCCAACCAAACCTCTTGTCCCTTTATGAAATTTTGAATGTATTATATAATTTTTTTATTCGACTACCGAGTAAATTAAAAGATAAAAATTGATGTGAAAAAAATAACACATTAGATGTAGTAAAAACTTAAATAGACATAAATAAACTTCATAAAATCTTTAAACATCTTATTCATTAATCAAAAAGAGAATAACATATAACATTTATGAACACGTTGACTGTCTGCAGTAATATTTTAGTATAACATAAAATAACGTAATTATATGTATTAATAATAAAAATACGTGATTTTAAATGCTGGTCGTTATAAAAATTCAAAATTGAAATCGAACAAAAGACTGTCAACAATAAAGTTTCGGTCATTGTGTTAAAAAAATAGATTAAATCGTATAAAAATAGGTATTAATTTGCTTTAGTAAATTATTGTATATAATAAATTCTGCCTATTTTATTCATGTTTGAAAAACATCATATATTTGTCATACAACAATGATGCAAATGTATTTTAATTAAACTCGCATACAAAGAAATACGATGAAATGAAAGAATTGACCTTCTGTTAATCGTTTGAAGTGGCATTTATTGTAGCTCAGAATATTAATGTTAATATATAAAATAAAACTTGATAGTTTATTATTATAGTGACAATTTGTGACATTTGATTTTCCATTAAAAATTCATTAATCAATATGAATGTTAGTTAAATTTATCATTAAACAATTATTCTTACTGTATATTAAATAGTAAGTATTATGGATCTACATTAATCCAAATGAGGTATTATTTAAAAGACGCGGAAATATGAAAAGTCGCTCTTAATTATTTACATAAAAATAATAAAATACATTTATTTTTTTTTATGATAATTATTATAACAAATTTTTAATACATTTTTTAGAATTTGTAATTTTTCAGAAAAAATGATCAATTTGGAAAGTAATAATAGTAAATAATATTTGAGAAAATTTTATTATATTTCTGTTTAATTATTTTTGTTAAACTAGTTATTTTTTTTTTTACGTTAACTTAACTGGTAATTATCGTCGAGTAACTTTAACATTCAAAGTAACTTTTTTTTAAAGTTATTATTTAAATATTGTGGTTGATAGACTATTTAGTATGGTACTAGCATAAAATAAATTATTTTCCAGAGATTTAAAATAATGATATAATGTAATATAAGTTCTAAATAAAAAATTCTACTAACTTCTCAAAGGTAAAAAATAATATTCATCAAAACTGTTAATTATGCCCTTTTATCAATAGTATCAATATTAGTAATAAGTATAATGAAAAGTATGTATGACTACTATAATTTATATAAAAGAAAGAATTAAGCATGTAACAATTTTATTGTAATTTGAATTTGAGTTTGTTGGTTATTATTTTTTGAAATTTAGAAATCTTTTTTTATTGTGCATAATATTAAAAGATAAACTGAGGATGTGAATACATTTTTTTTTTAATTTCAAGTTCCTTTGGGAATGTTATGTAAAATAAAAATTTAATTAATTATTTTCTATTAGCTAATATTGCTAAGTTTAAAGTGATTTAACAAAAAAGAAATGTTTTATATTATTATTTTTTACAAAATTAATAATAATTTATAAAACACGAAATTATAAATTATATTACATTAGTTAGTCGTTTAGTTGTGCCCAGCTTAACCTCGAAAACATAAATATAATAATACCTTCATTACCATTGTAGGAGATACTGATGAAGATTTGTGTAAATTATATATTAATTTATTTTATTGTAATTTAAAATAAGTTTATAAGTTAAAATATTTTAACTTATAATTTATACATATATAATACATATATTTTAAAGCGAATATGAATATGGTTAATAATATAGTTTTAACTATTGACTAGTTATTTGTTATGAGATGAATGATATATAAAATTAAAGTTGGATAACATTACCTGTATCTTCAGATGGGTTATTTTTAATAAACATCTTTTTTAAAAGTTATAAGTTTGAAAAATGAAATTATTAAATGTTTTAAGATTTTTTTCATTTTTTTAAATGTTTTATCAAAACTCTCCCATGCAGATAACATTTTCAATTTGAAAATGAAGTTTGTACTTTCTTAAAACATGTTTTGATAGCTAAAAATAAGTACTGAGTCCATCTTAATTATTTTGTTCATGAAAAATTTTTTTTTTTTGTAGATTTTTATTTGAAACAAATAAACTTTCGTGAATATTATATTGTTATCGTATTGAGGAAAAACAAGATTCAATAATGAACTTCCATATTTTATATATTGTTTTGTTTAGTAATTTGGTGTACTCCAAGGCGAAATCATCATTATCATCATCGCAGTATACACCAATATTTCGACCTAACTTACCGGCTGTAAAACATTTACCCCCCTCTCACACCACAAAAAATAATTTTTATTTAGTCAACATTTATTTTAGGGGCCTTTTAAAATAAAAGTTACAGCATATATGCCTTGTGATTTCAATTATGATCATCTGATTAACTTTAATCATTATTTGAGTAAAACTTCTCCAACCAGATATGAAATTATGGGCAATCTAACATTTTTAATCCCTTTTGATGATTCATTGACTGTAAGAAATTGTTTACTTATATAAAAAAAAATAAAAATTCTTATTACAAGTAATAATTAATCTATATCGAAATAGATGAACTTAAATTACGCTGTAAAAGGATCAAACGGCGGCTGGATTAAGAACTCGCATTTAATAGTTATTAAAAACGCTTGTAGTTCATTAAAATCGCATTTGGGCAATCGTTGGTTAAATTATACTACAGCTTTTCATTTCAAAGAAACTGATTGTCCTATATCACCAGTAAGCATAAATCGATATAACATTAATATAATATAATATTAATATATAATATAATATTATATAATATAATATTTGTCAAAAATTTCAAAATTTCAGTCATTTTCATTAACTTAATATAGACAAAAAATTTAAAATACATAGATTTTTATATTCATTGTAAGTTAAATTCATATAACTCTTATGTAAATTAATGACCTTATTACTGTTGCCTCCACTTGTATCATCCAGTTTTTTTTATTACAATTTTTTAAAAGTAATAACCGTGTAAAATAAAAATTAAAAAAAAATGTGCATAAAGAAAGTTTTAAATTAAAGTTTATTGGTGAGGAAGTAATAGTTATTAAAAACGTTTGTAGTTCATTATAATCGCATTTGGGCAATCGTTGGTTAAATTATACTACAGCTTTTCATTTCAAAGAAACTGATTGTCCTATATCACCAGTAAGCATAAATCGATATAACATTAATATAATATAATCTTCATGTTAAAATATTTTTCCATTCATAAATATTTATAGAATCATCTCAACATATATTTAAACAAGTTGTATAATTGTTTCAATATATCTCAATGTCAATAAAAGATGATTTAGTAAATATCCATAGCAGTTTAACGAATTTTATTAAACTAATTTAAAATAATTCGGATGTATAAGCAGTAATCTATAATATAATTATATTAATACTGAAATAATCAATTTCAGTGGTTCTACTTTGATATGAATATGACGTATTTTTTTTTTTTTAATTTTAGAACGTGAAATACAATATATTTAGATAACTCTGAAGGAATTTAAAATTAGAAAATATTTTTTACATAAGTAGTTGGAGTTTTTTGAATGTTATATTGTCATAATAATAAAAAACCCAGCACAGTCGGGACGTGGCATAGTTGGGTCCAGTATAGTTTTAATCTGACAGAATGTTTTTTGGTAAGGGGTTGTGGTACACCAACCTCTTTTTCATGATATCAGAAAACACACAAAATTCAAAAACAAAATAAATTCCTTTTTAAAAAGTTATACTAGTTTAAACTCAAAATAAATATTTTTGAAAAGTTGTACAAAAATCTACTTAATTGAATGTATTATAAAATTGGATAATAATTTTAAAAATCCATAATTAAATTTAGATCAAATTAAAAATATTTTTTTTTTTGAAATGATTTATATAATAATTTTGCAGAATGGTGATAGAAAACACAGAGAGAGTTGAAAAATTAATAAATTACAAAGTAAAATTATTTAGTTTTTTAATTAAAACCTATAATCATATCAAACGTAAATCGATAATAAATACTTTAAAAATACTAAAAAGGAATGATTTTAATTGTCTATATGAATAATGTGGGATAAATAACTTTTCAAATGAAAAAGTGGACATTTTTTTTTTATTTTTTGAGGGTAATATCTTTAATTAGATAATAGTTGTGATCATTTGATGTATCGTTAAAAAAGTGAGAGCTGAGAAAATAAATGAGAGCCACAAAAAAATCACATAGTAAAAAATCATTAATATGAATAAGAAATTTCTTCAAACGAGGGGAAACTACAGTGATGGGATTTTTGATATTCATTGAAATTTTAAAATCTAAATGAGATAAAAATCTAAAGAGTTAATAATTTTATCCTAACTCAAAAACTTTTATAAGGTATTTTTAAATAAAATAAAATTGAAAATTTTAACACAAAAATAACATACGGTACCCATTTTTATCATGAAAACAAAGTAAAGTTCGAAATATTTTTCCACCATATTAAAGTACATTGCATTAGCTTTAATTTAAGATATATATAAAAGTGTCATTATTTCCGGAACACTTTCATAAGTGTAATATATGAATATATATAATAATATATAAATGTAAATGGTGTTATTTAACAAAAAAAGCATAACGAATGCAAAAGGGATATAAATATTATTTCTCATAAAAAAATTGTATTACACTTTATACACATTTTTCAATAATTTATAGCATTATTAAGTTAAAAATGAAAAATTTAAAATCGAGAAATTTCATACAAAAATAGCATTGGGTAATTATTTTCATTGTGAAGACAAAATAAAGTCCGAATTTTTTTTTTTTTCATAATAAAGTATATTTCATTATCTTTAATTTAATATATATATAAAAGTGTCAGAAATTCCGTAACACTTTCAAAAGTTAAGTTGAAAAAGTTATTTTTTTGAGAAAAATTTGTCATTTTAAATCTCCTTGTGGGCTGGTGAAGGGTCAGATTAAAAAAATGTATATTCCAAATGATAAATAAATAACTATTATATCTATAAAAAAAATTGTATTAATCCATACATTTTTCAAAAAGTTATAACATTATATTTTAAAAATATAAAAACCAAATTTTTTTACAAAAATCGTATTTTTTTATTATCTTTGATGTCTGTTTTTACCATGACAACTAAATAAAGTTCGAAATTTTTTTTTTCATATTAAAATTTATTACATTTATGTTACAATAAATGTGTCTATATTATTTATTTATCAAGCATCACCTAAACGTTGTTTTAACATGGTTGCAAAAAAAATGCGATATTACAATTTAACTTAAAATATCAACAATCTAAAAAAAAGCAATATTTTAAAAACGTTCGGTGAATATATTTGAAACTGTTTATAACAGTGATGTCAGTGGAACATGTTAAAAAATGTTCATTGCACAGTGGGATATATACTATATTAAATATCGTCAAGATTTTCTATTAATTGAGCTTTTATAACATATATTTTTATGAAATGTGTCTGAAAAATATATTAAAAATATATTTTATTCAAAATTGTGTGTTTTATGAAGTATTATGATTAGTCTTATTTACATTCTTAGGGAGATTATGTATCATCTGGAATTGACCAAAGCATATTCGAATACAGTGATGTACAAAAATATTTTTTTTATGGGGAATACAAAGTTACTCAAACTTTTATTAATTCTTCAGGCGATATAGTGGGTTGTAGTGAATCTTTGCAAAATATTGTACGTCCTTGGGAATGATTAAACAAATGTTAAAATACGTAAATATAGTATTACTAATTCTATTTTAATAATTTTAATTAAATAAATTTAATATTAATAAAAAATTGTATTTTTAGTCGTAAAAAAAAATTAATAAACTATGTTTGTTCAATAATAAAACATTTAGTATTTTTATTAAATATGACTTTGAAAAAAGTTCTCAAAAAGAAATCAGTTCTCAGACAAATAAGTATAATGATAAAAAAAACCAGCATAGTGGGGGCTGGCATAATTGGGTCCAGTATAGATTTAATATGACAGTGATTAAAATCATTATCATTAAAAATGCTTCGATGCAAATCTGTAGATAGTGTTTAATTTTAAAAAATTGGTGGATTAGTCCAAAAGTTATATGACCTTCTATTTCCTTATTTATATACTGATTACAAGTTTTATGATTCATAAGTGTAATATATTGTCTTACGTTAATAGTGCCCCGACGTAGACACAAAAAGTAATGCACAAATTAAATAACGTTTTTAGACGACGAGTTCGTCGTTTTTAGCTTTTCTCGAGTCCTCCCGTTGGATACGCTGGTCAGCCCCAATCCCTCCAATTTGTGAACTACTAAAGGGGTAGAGTTTAGACCCGTCATCACGATCTAGCTCAAAAGTAGCAGACTGAGGGGAGGCTCCTTGTCAGCCACCAGCACAACTACCTTTCCACTAAATCTATTAAAGGACGGTTAAGCCCAAAAACTAGCCAGCACGAACACTAATTGTTATGTTTGACTAAAGGTCCAATAGTCCAAATTTTAATAACACGACGATTGTAAAGTATTTACTCTCGAGTACAGGTTTTTAAATAATTATTTTATTTATATAACGTAAAGACAGAAAGTCAAAATATAATATAAAAATATAAAAAATAATTAATTAAGTCGTACAAAAATAAAGTTACTTGCACACCAACGACCTAACCCATAATTCGACGTTTCTTCGACAAAACGTCCAGTTCCGTTCAGTCCCTCCATACTTTTCGTAATTCCCTTTTGTATTCTTTTTCCCACCATTATTAATTTGCTTATCCTGCATTTCCCTATTATATGGAATTATTATCTTGCTTAAGAGTTCAAAAATTACTCACTACTGTTGTAAAGTATTAGCTTTACAACAGTTTACTTTATCAGTTATACTAAAATCGCCGTAATTCAATACTTTCTCAGCTATTTACTACATATATGAATAAATATTTATCATAGCAATTAAATATAATATGAAATTGTTATTTAATAATTTAGTATTGTAATTTTTACGGAGAAATTATAAAAAATTATAAAGAGGTTATTATTATTAAGGCAAATGTTGGATAATAACAGAAGCAAAATAATTTCCTATTTCCTTCAGTATAGCTGATCAGTAGTTCTTTGATCTATAAATATAATATATGAATATTTATTATAGCAATTAAGTATAATATGAAATTAATACTTAATAATTTAGTGTTGTAATTTTTACACAGAAACTATAACAAGTAATAAAGTAGTTGTATATTTCTTTACTTTTAACGCGAATAAAAATTTAAAGGGATTGATGGAATACTTTACAATAAAACATATTTGTTACTTATGAATAAATATATTGAACTACAAGGAACTTTCATAACAATCAAAATTATACTTTTCTTAAAAATTTTTCGTGCTGTTTTCAAATCTACAAATAAACTTTTTCTATCACTTCTAATTTTTTATATTATAACTAATTAGAAGAAAATAAGTATTTATATATATAAAAATATTAAAAAAAAAAAAATTATTACTCACTTTTAATTTTAATTTGTTAAAAATAATAAAATAACATTTTTTACTTATTATATTATACCATTAAAAATTATTTTTTTGAAAATTTATAATAAAAGTTGAATTAGTTACCATTACTTTTAGTTCAACTTGCATGTTTTAAATTATCATTAAATAGAAAATTTTATGAAAATTAAAAAAAAATGTTATTGTTAAGATTAAAATGCAGTCAATAAATTTTATAATAACTTTTTATAGTAAATTTATCGTAAAAGCTGAATATTTGTTTGCATTTTTAACCTAGCACAGTGGTGTTGTGGCATAGTTGGGTCAAGTATGGATGAAATCTGAGAGTGATCAAAATCACTATTATAATTAACTCTTCGATGCAAATCTATAAATAGCGTTTAATTTTAAAAATTTGGTGGATTATATCAATAGCAACATGATCTCCTATTTCCTTATATTTATCTTGATTACAAGTTTTATAATATATAAGTGTAATATATTTATATATTATAAATATTTATTATAATAATTAAATTAATATTTAATAATTTGGTATTATAATTTTTACGAAAAAATTATAAAGTAGTTATTATTTTTATGACAAACGTATATATTAAAGGTCTTATTGCAATATTTAAAAAAAAATTTGTTTGTTATTTATAAATAAATTTACTGGTCTACAAGGAATTTTCACCAGAGACCAAAATATATTTTTTAATAGTTAATTCTAATGATGAGTTTATAGTTTTATATTGACAGATATAAAACAAAATTTTTAAACGAAACAAATCTATTATTTTTGACCCGGCAATCTGACATTATATTTGTTAATAGATTTTATATTTGTCAAAAATTTCAAAATTTCAGTCATTTTCATTAACTTAATATAGACAAAAAATTTAAAATACATAGATTTTTATATTCATTGTAAGTTAAATTCATATAACTCTTATGTAAATTAATGACCTTATTACTGTTGCCTCCACTTGTATCATCCAGTTTTTTTTATTACAATTTTTTAAAAGTAATAACCGTGTAAAATAAAAATTAAAAAAAAATGTGCATAAAGAAAGTTTTAAATTAAAGTTTATTGGTGAGGAAGTAATAGTTATTAAAAACGTTTGTAGTTCATTATAATCGCATTTGGGCAATCGTTGGTTAAATTATACTACAGCTTTTCATTTCAAAGAAACTGATTGTCCTATATCACCAGTAAGCATAAATCGATATAACATTAATATAATATAATCTTCATGTTAAAATATTTTTCCATTCATAAATATTTATAGAATCATCTCAACATATATTTAAACAAGTTGTATAATTGTTTCAATATATCTCAATGTCAATAAAAGATGATTTAGTAAATATCCATAGCAGTTTAACGAATTTTATTAAACTAATTTAAAATAATTCGGATGTATAAGCAGTAATCTATAATATAATTATATTAATACTGAAATAATCAATTTCAGTGGTTCTACTTTGATATGAATATGACGTATTTTTTTTTTTTAATTTTAGAACGTGAAATACAATATATTTAGATAACTCTGAAGGAATTTAAAATTAGAAAATATTTTTTACATAAGTAGTTGGAGTTTTTTGAATGTTATATTGTCATAATAATAAAAAACCCAGCACAGTCGGGACGTGGCATAGTTGGGTCCAGTATAGTTTTAATCTGACAGAATGTTTTTTGGTAAGGGGTTGTGGTACACCAACCTCTTTTTCATGATATCAGAAAACACACAAAATTCAAAAACAAAATAAATTCCTTTTTAAAAAGTTATACTAGTTTAAACTCAAAATAAATATTTTTGAAAAGTTGTACAAAAATCTACTTAATTGAATGTATTATAAAATTGGATAATAATTTTAAAAATCCATAATTAAATTTAGATCAAATTAAAAATATTTTTTTTTTTGAAATGATTTATATAATAATTTTGCAGAATGGTGATAGAAAACACAGAGAGAGTTGAAAAATTAATAAATTACAAAGTAAAATTATTTAGTTTTTTAATTAAAACCTATAATCATATCAAACGTAAATCGATAATAAATACTTTAAAAATACTAAAAAGGAATGATTTTAATTGTCTATATGAATAATGTGGGATAAATAACTTTTCAAATGAAAAAGTGGACATTTTTTTTTTATTTTTTGAGGGTAATATCTTTAATTAGATAATAGTTGTGATCATTTGATGTATCGTTAAAAAAGTGAGAGCTGAGAAAATAAATGAGAGCCACAAAAAAATCACATAGTAAAAAATCATTAATATGAATAAGAAATTTCTTCAAACGAGGGGAAACTACAGTGATGGGATTTTTGATATTCATTGAAATTTTAAAATCTAAATGAGATAAAAATCTAAAGAGTTAATAATTTTATCCTAACTCAAAAACTTTTATAAGGTATTTTTAAATAAAATAAAATTGAAAATTTTAACACAAAAATAACATACGGTACCCATTTTTATCATGAAAACAAAGTAAAGTTCGAAATATTTTTCCACCATATTAAAGTACATTGCATTAGCTTTAATTTAAGATATATATAAAAGTGTCATTATTTCCGGAACACTTTCATAAGTGTAATATATGAATATATATAATAATATATAAATGTAAATGGTGTTATTTAACAAAAAAAGCATAACGAATGCAAAAGGGATATAAATATTATTTCTCATAAAAAAATTGTATTACACTTTATACACATTTTTCAATAATTTATAGCATTATTAAGTTAAAAATGAAAAATTTAAAATCGAGAAATTTCATACAAAAATAGCATTGGGTAATTATTTTCATTGTGAAGACAAAATAAAGTCCGAATTTTTTTTTTTTTCATAATAAAGTATATTTCATTATCTTTAATTTAATATATATATAAAAGTGTCAGAAATTCCGTAACACTTTCAAAAGTTAAGTTGAAAAAGTTATTTTTTTGAGAAAAATTTGTCATTTTAAATCTCCTTGTGGGCTGGTGAAGGGTCAGATTAAAAAAATGTATATTCCAAATGATAAATAAATAACTATTATATCTATAAAAAAAATTGTATTAATCCATACATTTTTCAAAAAGTTATAACATTATATTTAAGTAACTCAAAATAAATATTTTTGAAAAGTTGTACAAAAATCTACTTAATTGAATGTATTATAAAATTGGCTAATAATTTTAAAAATCCATAATTAAATTGAAATGAAATTAAAAATAATTTTTTTTAGAAATAATT